AGCCAGCTCTTACAGTGGCAGCCCAGCTGGGGAACAAGACTGTAAAAACAAGGACATAAAACTCCAAATCAAATTGCGCTCGCGATGAAAACATGAAGGTGACGAGCTGCCCCGGCAGAAGGCATCCCTCTGGTTGGCGGCCGCCGGAGCTGCTGCCTGTCTCCCGCCGTGCCGCATCGCGCCGCTGACGTCATTTATCTCCCTGCTGTAGGAGCTGTAATGAAACTCCGTATCTCGTGTCTCTTCGTACAAGTCTGCCTCGCTGTTTCTGAGCTAGGAATTAAAATAAAAAGGGGAGGGGCAGGAGGGAAGTCAGGCTAGCACGTTTATTCCTCTTTCTCTTGTCCTTTCCCTGGGATTGCAGCAGCTTTGCTGCCAGGAGCCATCTCTTGCATCCTCTTGAACCATCTCTTGCATCCTCTTGAGCTTTTGGGGCTCCCTTTCCCCAGGGGCAATGCTGCAGCCCAGCTCGTCACACAGCCCCTACGCGGAGCGGCGAGGGGGTCTGTAAACATCTGTGTCGCTATTTCTGAGGTCCACAGCAGGCACAGCCTCGGAGTTTCATAGAAGCCTGCTTCGATCTCACATTTCTGGGGCACATCTCCGCTGGGCAAAGAGGAAGGGGCTTTCCCCATAAAAACCCCTGCAGCAAACTGGGTGCTGCTGTCCTGCAGGCTGGGGCCAGGACCATGCTGACCCAACTGCTGTTGGGTCATCAGCAAGTTTTCCTCTGTAATAATTACTTCTGTGAGCCATGAAAACCGGAGGAAATCCAACCTCTTCCTCTTAACGAATGCCCCTGCCTGGCTTTCCATCAATACACCAACAGGAGCTCTCTTTTTTAATTTATCACCATCAATGTTGTGTTTCTCGTTGCGTTCCCAGCATTTTTTAGTAGAGGTCTTTGCTTAAAGGATATCCCTATGGACTCCTGGACAGAGGAGAGTCATAAACAGAAAACAAATAAGCCATCCCAAAGCACAGATGAGGGATGGGAAAGCTCATTTGGGGAAGCTGAAGCCATGGGGGGTGACGAGGATGGATGATGCTGGGGGGCAGCGTGCTGCAGCTCACCAGCATGGGGCAGGCACCAGAAAGGAGCTTTACGTCAGGAATCATCCGGCACTGACCCAGACACCAAGGAAGATCCATGCCTGTAAATACCTAGGCCTCTCCTTCTGACTTGATTGCTGTTTTAGTTAATTTACCCTAATGAAGAAGAGTGTTTCGGTACAAACGGCGGTTGCTAACAAGCACGCGGTGGCAGCAGCAAGCGCCAGCCGGGGAAAACCAACCCAGGCTGCATGATGATGGAGAGCTGTGCGGCTCCAAAACCCGGCTGCAGCTCCTCAGTTGGTCTTGCACTCTCCAAGCCACAGCTCCCTTCATCTTCCTGAGTTTATGATGAGGAGAGCAGATAAAAAACACCAGTAAAAACTCGCTTTCCTTCTCGCTGTGTGCTTCTAGCCGGCCAGGGTTAGTGGAACAGAGCAGAAGCAAGCTGTCTCTGCCCCATGTGAATGGTTGCCATCCGTGAGATATTTTTTTATGGTTTCAAATAGAGTGAAAGGATGTTTTCCAAGCTACGGAGCAGCAATATGCTGATCTCGCTTAAACATCTGGAATACTTTCGAATGATCGCTTTAACTGAATATAGCAGCAATTATAGAATTATTTCATTTCAGATGATTTGCAGGTTGTTTTTTTTTTTTTTCCTTAGTGACTTAGGAGGAGCCATACAAATTGCAGGGCTATGTTGGGCTGCCATGCAGGAGGACCTGGTTCCAGCTCAGCCCCTGGCAGCTGGAATAGCTCAGCAGCCTAAATCTGGGCACATCACAGATCCACCAGCCAGTTCCTGCTTTAAATTTAAACCATTTAAAATATTTAAGTTTGTATCATTATTTTAGCAGTTTAAAATTATTCCTGGAGAAGGCTGCCGTGTCTTCCCTTGAAGTTCTTTGCAATGCTGGTGAGAAAGTCATTTCTGTACCCTGACGTGCCTCGAGAGAGAGCTGGGCTGTCTGAGTCAGTCATGCTCAACTCTCTTCAGTTTGGGGGACGCGCTAATTTTTCCAGTTAGATGTGGATCTCTCCAGCAAGACCTGAGCATATGCCACCCTTCCCAAACCCTTCATTAGCCACCCATGGACACTGCAGAGAAGATGATGAAAAAATTGCTGATCTCAAGACACATCAGTCCCAACCCCCTTAAGACACAAGGCAGGTCTTCCCATGCCAAAGCCCAAAGCTGCTGATGGGACCAATGACCAGCCCGCAGCCTCAGCACCTCCACCTCACACCATCCTACCTCTTCTAGTGGCCCAGCAGCTCCTCTGCAGCAAGCACAGCCTTCAAAAAGCATCCAGAAATGGTAAAAAGACATCAAGAGACACAAATCAGCTCTTCCCAGTGTTCGTCTCTTCCTATAGTTAATCACTCAGCTTTTATTTGTCCAGCCTCAACTTCCAGCCATTGATTCTCAGTATGCTTTTCCTTACAAGAGTTAAGAGCTGACTCTTCAGTATCTATTATTTTCACCTTGTGATGGGTTTTTGGCATGAGCAAACCAAGGACAGGTTCACTTGGGAAAGATATTTTCTTACAGCTCAAAGTCCCTGAGAAAATTGCACAGAGATAAGAACATCCAAATTGTAACAGTTCAAAACCAGAGAGATACTTCTGCCGGGCTTCTTGGCTAGTTTAAGTCAATTTGGCACAAACCTAAGCATAGCAACCTAAGTCTTTCAAACTCAACTAGGACCATACATGAACTCCAGGGAAAATAATTAAATAAAGGATGGGAAGTGGTTGTGTGAAGCACAGCAAGACCTTTTTGCCAGCCCATGCTTCAGAGATGCTGTGGTTTGGATAAAAGGAAGGTGAATTTTGGGTGAGGGTCACTTTGCTTAGAGGAGCTCTTTTCCCCGTGGTTGTAACACAGCCCTGGCAAAGCAGAGCCACCTTGAAGGTGCCAGCACACAGACACGCTGCCCCAAGGACCGCTCTGCTTCATCCCAGCTGGCGCAGACCCACCGCAGCTCTGGCTCAGCTGCCCTCTTCCAACACAAACCTTCATTTAAACCAGAAAGTAAAACCTAACCTGAGATCCAGCCCATGCCACAAGCCAGATGACTCCTTGAGCAACCCAAAAGCCGAACCCATTTTTTATTCTCAACCCCAAGATGCACATTTGCTCGAGAGCAGCAACAATTTTTCCTTTTTGTTATTCTTAGCTAGAACATCCAGCCTTTCTGCTTCTGGTTGCTCGAGGTAAAAAAAAAAAATCAGCACAATTTGAACTGCGATCAACAAAAACACGAAATGAATGCTGCGTTTTATTTAATAAACTCGAGCAACACAAGGCTGCCTGGTAGACACAACATAATTTCTTTTGGATGTAAAAATGAAGACAAAATGGTTTTTCCAAGGTAATTAAAAAAAAAAAATTTTTTTGTACTAACAGGAAAAAAGCTGTCAGGCTAAAATTCATATTTAATAAACTGTTTTTCCTGTTCCCTTGTATTAGCATGCAAAGATTGTCAATTCTTGTTATTTTGCTCAAAGTCAAGAAGTCATCACGTGTCACTAGGAAGTCGTGGCTGCTGGTATTAGGAGCTCGCCTGAGAACTACAGTTTGCTAAAAACAACAGCAGAAAGGGAGAGGGTGGGAAATGGCAGCTGCTGAATAGTTCCTGAAAATATGACCTAAGATGAAAAAGCACAGAGAAAGAGCAAAACAAAATCATTTCATTTTTAAGACAATCATGATTTTGAATCATAAGACAATTTTAAGACAGTCTTAAAGCTTCTGCTGAGCTTCTCTCTCAGCTTGCCTTCACTATGCAGAAGCGGGACCCCAAAGCTTGTTGCAGTTACTCCAGAAAAACAACATCTCTCAATTTAAAAAAAAAAAAAGTATGCCTGAAGGAGTATTTAAATAACTACGAAAATGAAGTGATAAATTGAATGAAGAAACCACAGCAAGGACTTAATTTAACCATACAATTCACTGGGGTCTGAACAAGTAGAACCCTTTAAAACTTTCCCCTTTAGGATTCACCAGGATGATGGTAGCACACAAAACGAAAAAAGAACCAGTGTAGCCAGAGAGCTGCAAGAGTCAACTTCTATAGCACCAAAAAAGTCACCTGTCCCTGTACAGGCCAATTTGTGGTGATCAAGCCCCATAGCCAGCCATAGCCTGGCACAGGCAGGCAGCAGTCTCAACGCACTGGATATAGGAGTAAAGCTGCGGTCCCAGACTCTCCACGAAGCAGATGGAGCACAGTGACATCCCACGCAAGGTCCCTGCATGGCCCAGCATGGTGATGGTGGGCTGACACGTGGTGCCAGCTGGAGCACCCCTGCTGCCGTGCTGCTAACCTTGGAGTCATGCTTGGTCCCCACCAGGACCCGGTGTGCCACGATGGCCACGGCACCTCACGGTTATACACAGCCATCATCGCTTTTGGTGGCAATAAATCCACGTAATGGACACTCGGAGGGTATCAGTTCCATGCTGCTTGTGGGGCTGTATTAGTAACTGGGGCTGAAACCATGCAGACAAACATAAAGGGGGGGGCAGAGCATCTCTGTTGTACAAGACAATTAGGGTGGAGAAAGGACATTTCTCCAGGGCAGCAGCACTGGTGAGAGCAAAGCTCCCCTTGGCCCCCAGAGTTCTCCCAGCACTGGAGTCCTGCCAGAAACTGGCCCAGGGGCCCCTTTTGGTTCCTCCATACGGAGCACATCCCTCTTTCTTTGCTATTTCAGTTAAAAACTGCGTTCCTCTCTTGCAGCCAGGCCGCCAGCGCCGGAGGGAGATGCAGCCGCAGCCCTGAGCGGGTACTGCCAAAACCATCCGTGACCTGCCTCCAGCGAGCCC